CCCCTGTTTTATGGAGAGGTTAATTATGTGAGCTATGACTGGTGAGATGGCGGTTGCTGTGTCTCTGAGGAATTTGGAGGGGATATTGTCGTGGCCAGTGGCCTTGTTAGGTTGGAGGGCGCTCAGTTTAATGAGTACCTCTGCTGTTGTTACCCTTGCTAGACTGAAATCATCTTTGCGTACCCCTAGGTTTTTGTAGTAGGTCATGATGTGATCTACCCCAAAAAGCCCTGAGTGGGAGGGTAATTTATTTACAAGAGTTGTGGCTATGTTTGTGAAAAAAATGTTCTAGTACTTGGCCACATCCAGTTTGTCTGTGATGAGCCGGTTATCTGTCTTTATGTTTAAGTTAGAAAATCTCGTTTTGAGTTTTTTACTGCAGCCAAGCTGGTTATTGAGTCATTTCCAAAGTTCACAGGGTTTATTTTTGTTTTCCTCAGTTTTGACATTGATGAAATTCTTTTTGGCAGTTTTGATCATGGAGCCCTAATACTCCGTTGTACTTAACATCCCGATAGCAATGAATAAATGACATGCTTTGACAATAAATACATAAAAAAACATCATCTCTAGAAGCCGTAGTACTTCTGTGACTGTGCACACATTTATCTTGTGCCCTCATTGGTCATGTGCGCGTTCGTGTGTGTTGGAGGAGGGGCTCTGAAAGGAAGTCTGAAGGAAGGGGCAGATTTTCTCCGGTTGTGTATTTTCATATTCTAGCGCACTCGAGCTGGTTTCTCCAAAATTACATACCACACCTTTAAGACAAATAATGCTTCAAATGTAAATATGCCGGATTTTAGCTTTGAGCTAAATTCCATCCGCAGTCCCTCACATACAACATATAAGAACATGACATTTATAAAGACAGCAAAAATAAATACATGATATGCAACACAAGTATTTACCTCATGGTACAATATAGCAGCAATGACATATAAAGTGATCATTTAAATGTTTTCTTTACGCTATGATTTACAGTAAGAGCTAATGAGATTAATAACATGATATTAACTCAGTGAGATGACCTTAATGTAAGCGTGCAGCCGCTCCTGCCTGAGCGAGTTCTTCCCCATGAATCATTGCATTCATCCTGCAAAATACTTTCTATTTCTGACAACCCCCCCCCCCCCCCACCCCCTGTGACATAATGCGCCATAATGACCGCAGCATCACAAAGAGGACCTCTCCCATTGTGTGTGTGTTCACTGTTGATGTGAAGAGAAGGCTAACATTTATATATTATACGGTATATGGTAAGAGACTAGTGGCCACACACAGTACTGCAGCATCAGGTGCCCCCCTTTCAGTCATAGGAAGATCTCGCCTGTATTTGTATGCACCTCACAGTATTTATTTATTATTCCATGATTGAATATTCACATTTATACTTTATACACAAAGAGACACCTGACCAGTGGTGGGTCTTAGCTGTGCTAGCAGTAGCATTAGCATTACAGGTGCAGCTGAATGCAAAGATGGACACTGAATAAAAGGAGACTGTTTAAGTGAGAATGCGCTCGACAGGTGAAGCTGGACCAGAGTAATAATCATCGGATGGATACCTGACGACAATCATCACATGGATACCTGACGATAAGCATCACCTGGATACCTGAGGACAATCATCACCTGGATACCTGACGATAATCATCACCTGGATACCTGACGATAATCATCACCTGGATACCTGACGATAAGTATCACCTGGGGGGTGTACTACGAAGCAGGATTTTCGCTTAGCCGGCTAAATTCAGGGAAAACTCCGGCTTTCCGGTCCTACGAAGCTGGTTCTCTTTATAGCGGGCTAGATCTCCATGGTAACTTATGCTTAGCGGCTAACCTGGTCGGGACCAGGTTAGGTTGCAGGCTAAGAGATCAACTCAGTGAAAGCACCGCCTGCTGACCAATCAGAGCTCAGTGTGTGAGTTTAAAGCGATCAAGTCATATTACAGGAGAAAGGAAATACAGAAAAGCTGCCGTCGCAGGAAAGACGGCCGGCAAAAATCAGCGACTGTGTGAACGTGAACATGAATAGAATATCAGCTCCATCTTCAGAGCAATCTGACTATTATAACATTAGCGTTAAGAAAGCTTACTGAAATATCTGCCACAACATAAGTAACCGGATCAGAGTCACATTAAGTACAGTCCGCGGCATATCGTATCATATATTTTCTTATCTGAGTCAGCTGAGCTGTATCTGGCCGTGCAAGACTCACAGTGTCACATAGCCTACTGTATGCAGAAGTATTATTTTAAGCAACACATTAAGTTGGCGAAACACTCGAGACAAATGTAATTAAAGTCAGATCCACTCGTGTTTTAGACGGGGCAGTGATATCATAAACCTGTTAATGTACGCATTCAAACACTTTGTCTTTTGCCAGCTGTATTCACCTTGCAGGTGCAGCTCTGTGGCTTTGATCCTGGATAAAGTGTTTAAGTCATGGATGTTTAAAGTTTAACTTCTTCATTTTTGACTAGTATTAAAGTTCACTTTTCATTCAGGAAGTATGACGCTGCGCTGTCAGTGTGCTTCTCCATGTCTGTGATTGGTCGAATGCTCCAGATACCACCCCTTTCATGTGAACGCGCACCTAACTAGATAGGACACGGCTGGCTTGAGCGATCCACTTGATAACCAGCGTCGTAGTACAGTTTAGCGAGAGCGCGTATGTTTTGGATTAGGCCAACCGACAAACTCAAACATATCCAGGTTAGGTTGAAACAGCTTCGTAGTACAGGCCCCTGGATACCTGAGGATAATCATCACGTGGATACCTGACGATAAGCATCACCTGGATACCTAACGACTATCATCACCATGGATACCTGACGATAAGCATCACCTGGATACCTGAAGACAATCATCACCTGGATACCTGACGACAATCATCACCATGGATACCTGAGGACAATCATCACCTGGATACCTGACGACAATCATCACCATGGATACCTGACGATAAGCATCACCTGGATACCTGACGACAGTCATCACCATGGATACCTGAGGACAATCATCACCTGGATACCTGACGATAATCATCACATGGATACCTGACGATAAGTATCACCTGGATACCTGACGATAATCATCACCTGGATACCTGACGATAATCATCACATGGATACCTGACAATAATCATCACCTGGATACCTGAGGATAATCATCACCTGGATACCTGAGGATAATCATCACCTGGATACCTGACGACAATCATCACCATGGATACCTGAGGACAATCATCACCTGGATACCTGACGACAATCATCACCATGGATACCTGACGATAAGCATCACCTGGATACCTGACGACAGTCATCACCATGGATACCTGAGGACAATCATCACCTGGATACCTGACGATAATCATCACATGGATACCTGACAATAATCATCACCTGGATACCTGACGATAAGTATCACCTGGATACCTGAGGATAATCATCACATAGATACCTGACGATAAGTATCACCTGGATACCTGAGGATAATCATCACATGGATACATTGCATTTAGCTGACGCTTTTATCCAAAGCGACTTACGATACGTGCGTTCGACGTTCGACTAAGTGCTTTGTTAGTATTTAAGTGCTTTGTTAGTATATAAGTGCTTTGTTAGTATTTAAGTGCTTTGTTAGTATATAAGTGCTTTGTTAGTATTTAAGTGCTTTGTTAGTATATAAGTGCTTTGTTAGTATATAAGTGCTTTGTTAGTATTTAAGTGCTTTGTTAGTATATAAGTGCTTTGTTAGTATATAAGTGCTTTGTTAGTATTTAAGTGCTTTGTTAGTATATAAGTGCTTTGTTAGTATTTAAGTGCTTTGTTAGTATATAAGTGCTTTGTTAGTATTTAAGTGCTTTGTTAGTATATAAGTGCTTTATATTTAAGTGCTTTGTTAGTATATAAGGTGCTTTGTTAGTATTTAAGTGCTTTGTTAGTATATAAGTGCTTTGTTAGTATATTAAGTGCTTTTAGTATTAGTGCTTTGTATATATAGTGCTTGTTAGTATTTAAGTGCTTTGTTAGTATTTAAGTGCTTTGTTAGTATTTAAGTGCTTTGTTAGTATATAAGTGCTTTGTTAGTATATAAGTGCTTTGTTAGTATTTAAGTGCTTTGTTAGTATATAAGTGCTTTGTTAGTATTTAAGTGCTTTGTTAGTATGTAACAAAGCACTTATATCCCCTGGGTGTCTCTCAATCTCGAGTACGCTTGCTTGGTAGCACATGTCTTCCGAGCGTCTTGCTTCAGAAGCGAGGCAAGAATACTTCCTAGCATTCGGAAAACAAAGAGTGGAACAGGCTAGCAAGTGTGCAGGTGTGCGTCATATGAGATTTGGGGAAATTGGTCCGTGCGCAAAGCATTGTGGGGATTTTAAGACCGCGGAGTCTACATGTGCAGCCTCGAAATCTCTCCAAACGAAGTACGCCAGGCTCGGTAGAATTCCAAGTATGCTGGACATTGGAACAGACCTTCGGCGGCACTCGATGAGTAGTATGCTTGAAATGGTGGCTCTGGAGCAGCTTTACTCAAGATTGAGAAACACCCCCCCCCCCCCTCTCTCAGGTGAAGCCCCTCCCCCTCTCTCAGGTGCTCTCGATCACTAATCGGGAGCTGATAACGTCCTGAGGATCTGCAGCCTCTCCCCTTCCTGAGCTCCATGTGCACTTTCTGCAGTGTGCGGAGTTTCTGTCTCCCTTTGTTTTAATTCATCAAACAACATCTCGTGGTTTCTCTTGTTCTCATGCGTTCAGTCTGCTGTGACTTCCCTTGTTTTCCCTTGTTCTCATGCGTTCAGTCTGCTGTGACTTCCCTTGTTTTCCCTTGTTCTCATGCGTTCAGTCTGCTGTGACTTCCCTTGTTTTCCCTTGTTCTCATGCGTTCAGTCTGCTGTGACTTCCCTTGACCCCAGAGTCTGCCAGACTGTAGGGAACGCCACAGTACGCAGGAAAAGATCATCACTTTCAACAGAAGAGACGCTGCGGAGAACCATGTTTGACCCGTTTAATATTTTTTATTGAAAAGCTTTAAATATCTTATATTGTACAGTGTAAAAGGGCACGATCTGAACTCAGGTTGAAAACAACTGAAGATAATAAATAAAGAAGAATATAAAAACAAAGAAGAGCAACAACATCCAAGAGGACATAAACCACGTGACGGAGGAAGATATAAAGTTTGTAAAAGTGTGTGACGAACACACCGCAGATAAGGAATATCATTTATAAAATATCAACAGAACCAACAAGAAGACCACAGTCCACAGAACAGAGTATAAAACATGAATATAACTCATTAAAGACATGAAGAAGCTCTCTGAGGAACCAGCGGGACACAGTGCACAGTCATAGGAAAATAGCAGAACATTAAATAAGGATACATTTATATTTCCTCTAAATACACTCGGAGTGGAGCTGCAGGTTTCATCTTTTAGTCCTGAATATTCAGTGTGTTTTCAGCAGCTGATTCATATAAAAATATACCTTTCACTGCCCCCCCCCCCTCCCCCTCCTGATGGGACATGTTATTGCTACAAACACCAGAAACTATGCAAATATACAATATCCATCCGTCACCAGCTTAAAGATATCCAATAAACCAGTTAAAGCTGCATTAATTCAATTTTGGCCACCAGGGGGCAGAACAACTAAAATTAGTTTAAATAAAACATCCTCTTTTAGCTCTGCTTTGGTCTCCACCAGTAGCTCTGTCTAATGTGTTTTAAACTGACGCAGTCTGTAGACCCAGAGATATTATATATATGTATAAAACATTTAAAGTTAGGGTTGAAAACAGTCTTTTCAGATGACGACATGAACCAAAGGTGTGAATGTTAAAGCTTTGATTGATCTGAACGCTGAGAGGAGCCGCTGAAGGTCCGTTCTGTGATCACAGGAGAAAACACCGAACCCTGGCACACCAAATAAACACTAAGTCGAGAGTAAGAGTGTGACCACCTGTGAACACATACACACAGTATAAAGTGTACATGTAGTACACAATAGTCACACACTCGGTAAAAGCCCAAAACATGAATGAATGCAGATTCAAACGAGAGCCTCGCGGCGTCTAGAGATGTCCAGGAGATCCTGAAACTCAACATTTAAACCATGAACCCTGACCCTCACACAGAAGACCCCCACCTCTAATCTGTTCCCTGGGGCAGATGTGTTAATGTATTCATTAATGTGTGTGTGAGGGTGACTCCTGTTAGAGCTAATGTCTGATCACACTGAGGGAACAACACACACACATCTGAGAGGGAACAAGGACACAACGCAGTGTATCTGAATAATAACACACACCATGAATCTCAGAGAGGCCTGTGAGGCCGCCGACCTGTGTCAGCTTCACACACACACACACACACACACGCAAGCACACACACGCACGCACAGACACACACACATGCACAGACACACGCATGCACGCACAGACACACACGCACAGACACACGCACGCACGCACGCACGCACGCACAGACACACACACACAGACACACGCACACCAGGCGGTGATTGTCTGATGCAGAATAAAGAGTGTCACGTTGGCTGGAATATTGAATAATATCTTGCAGCTGCTTCAGTAATGTACAAATGGATTAGATGTCAGCCATGTTGACATGTTGACATGTTGACATGTTACTGTCACAACATAAACAGGAAGTACAGGAAGTCGTTTTAAATGTAAACATCTGTACCATTGAATTATAACAGAATAAGAATCAGTGCATAGATGGAGCTGGTTATTAACTACTCTTTTTCAATGTTTTCACATTGAACACAAGAAGCTGCAAATGACAGCGGGGCCTGATGAAGACAACACACACACACACACACACGCACACACACACACACGCACACACACACTGGTTCAGTGCTGCTCTGGCGTCAGTGGTTCTGGACGGTGAACAGCGTGGACGTCCAGTGGGTCTGCCACACGGCCGACTCCACGTCATGTGACCTCAGCGAAGGAGATGTGATTCTGCAGGAAACAGGAAAAGACAGTCAGGATGGAGGAAACCAATCAGGAGTCAACTCAAAGACAACATGTCTCCTGATGTCTCCTGGAGTCAACTCAAAGACAACATGTCTCCTGATGTCTCCTGGAGTCAACTCAAAGACAACATGTCTCCTGATGTCTCCAGGAGTCAACTCAAAGACAACATGTCTCCTGATGTCTCCTGGAGTCAACTCAAAGACAACATGTCTCCTGATGTCTCCTGGAGTCAACTCAAAGACAACATGTCTCCTGATGTCTCCTGGAGTCAACTCAAAGACAACATGTCTCCTGATGCCTCCTGGAGTCAACTCAAAGACAACATGTCTCCTGATGTCTCCAGGAGTCAACTCAAAGACAACATGTCTCCTGATGTCTCCTGGAGTCAACTCAAAGACAACATGTCTCCTGATGCCTCCTGGAGTCAACTCAAAGACAACATGTCTCCTGATGTCTCCTGGAGTCAACTCAAAGACAACATGTCTCCTGATGCCTCCTGGAGTCAACTCAAAGACAACATGTCTCCTGATGTCTCCTGGAGTCAACTCAAAGACAACATGTCTCCTGATGCCTCCTGGAGTCAACTGAAAGACAACATGTCTCCTGATGTCTCCAGGAGTCAACTCAAAGACAACATGTCTCCTGATGTCTCCAGGAGTCAACTCAGACAACATGTCTCCTGATGTCTCCTGGAGTCAACTCAAAGACAACATGTCTCCTGATGTCTCCAGGAGTCAACTCAAAGACAACATGTCTCCTGATGTCTCCAGGAGTCAACTCAAAGACAACATGTCTCCAGATGTCTCCAGGAGTCAACTCAAAGACAACATGTCTCCTGATGTCTCCTGGAGTCAACTCAAAGACAACATGTCTCCTGATGTCTCCAGGAGTCAACTCAAAGACAACATGTCTCCTGATGTCTCCAGGAGTCAACTCAAAGACAACATGTCTCCTGATGTCTCCTGGAGTCAACTCAAAGACAACATGTCTCCTGATGCCTCCTGGAGTCAACTCAAAGACAAAATGTCTCCTGATGCCTCCTGGAGTCAACTCAAAGACAACATGTCTCCTGATGTCTCCTGGAGTCAACTCAAAGACAACGTGTCTCCAGGAGTCAACTCAAAGACAACATGTCTCCTGATGTCTCCTGGAGTCAACTCAAAGACAACATGTCTCCAGGACTCACAGAGGAAAGAGGCTTTGAGCTTGGAGAGTTTAAAGGTGAGATCTGTCTCTCGCTGACACAGATTGGAGGAAGTGACTCTCAGCTGTTAGCCTCAGTTAGCTCGTAGCATCACTCTGGACCCTTTAACACACACTCCATCACACTGCAGCGCTCTCAGGAGGGCCAATCAAATGAGAGCATGTGAAAAAGAAATAGGCCGAGGCGTGATCAGCAGCATCAAAGCAAGCAGAGAAGGGGGGGGGGGCTTTTCTTCTTTCAGTATCTCCTGCCAAGGGAGACGCATCTCTACAGAACATTCTGCAGAGATGCGTCTCTCTGAACCCTCAGACCCTCCCACACCAGGTCAGTCTTCAGGGACTAGCCACTGCCCCCCCCCCCTGTTATAAAACACTGATGCTGTCTGAGTCATGGTGCTAAAATAGACCCGTCCAGGAGTTGCTCCTGCAGTGTTTCTATTAAAGCCTGAGCCGAAGCTCCACTGAAGGAGAAACAGAATAAAGGGGTTCATTCGGTCGCTGTCAGACCCCCCCCCCACATCTCCTCTCTGCAGCGTCTTTAGCTTTATGCTCGTTATGCCGAGTTATTTTTAGAGCAGTCTAACAGCAGCTTCTGGAACGAGGTGATTCTGTGTGAGACTGACTCACAGAGCCTCAGCTGCTACTGTGCATCCTGTTCGAGGCAGTGAGGAGAAACACAGCAGGCTGGAGTAAACACAAACACTCTGACATTACGATCTGATGTGAAACACATTCAGTAAGATGCACAGAGAAACACTTCACACACTCTCACACACACTCTCACACACACTCTCACAAATACTCTGGACGCTGTGGACCAACAGAGAGGCAGTGGGTCTCATGGACTGGTTCACTCACCAAGCTAATTCCATGGTGGCTCGTGTGATGGGAACCACTGAGTGTATTATCTTCTGCGTGTTGCTCTAAGGCCCCGGCCACATGAGGACGTTACTGTTTAGTGTCATATAGACCGTTCGGCCACACGAGGACGACCGAATACGGCACTAAACGACTACGGAAACGATAACGGGTCCCAAGGTGGATAGACCGGCATATGCAACGATCATTTTCTGATAATGATGAGGCAATAGCTCCGCCTCCCCCCACCTCTGCTGCTCACCCCGCGTCAAAGTAAACTGCACACTGATTTCAGATTATTTATCTTTCTCTCGATATGGACATAAACGCGAGTGAAGTCTAATCTGACAGGACGGAGACACCTCTCAAACTAAACTAGTTATACATATGTTTATTTTTACTGTCGGCCGGGTCACTCATTACTGGATCAGCTGCTGCATGAGACAGACACTGGCGCTGTCCGGAGAGAGGGAGGAAAAAGAGAGGCTCCGTGTATTTTATTATTATATAGAGTCGTTATTCATTTGTTTTAAAGCTCAATAAATAACAAAGAAGACCTTTGACCGGAAGATTTAAACTTTAATTACACGTTGACTGGCGAGTAACTCTGCCCGGTTCCCTCGGCCCCCACCGCGGAGAATAAACAGAAGGGCAACCATGACAACCATGCTTCTTCTGCTTCTGTGGAGGAAGTTACAGCGCCACGTACAGGCTCCTGCATGTACTGCAGCTTCTCCAGCGGTTGGAGCTAAACGGAGGGGTCGCGTGTGGGCAGACACTATCCGGTGAATATTGCGTGTGGACGGAAGCTTTTTTGCGTTTGCGTTAATCCTATGCGTTTAGCCGTTTTCGTCCTCGTGTGGCCGGGGCCTAACCCAGACTGCTCTAAGACCCTAACCCAGATCATCTGGAGTCTCTAATGTCTCCCTCTGCTCTGCACTGTTGGTACCCCAACGTACTTTAGATCCTCCTCCTCACCGGTTCCAGTCAAATAAACAGAATAATGTCACTGTGATTTTCTCCTCTCCAAACACTACATATAGGGATACAGCTGAAATCTGGAGGATAGACGTCCAGAGATTTGTCAGAGCTCAGACCACCTTCTGTTGCTGATCCTCTGGAACCAGTGCAGACCCTGCAGCCAGTTCAGGAAGACCAGCAGACGCTCCTTAATGTAGCACGACTCTTCATCATCATCCGTCTCCTGCAGCAGTGTGTGCAGGGGGGGCATTAACGGTTAGATACCTGGACCCCAATACTCACAGCGGACAGCTGCAGGAAGCTAGTCCGACCTCACAGAGACCGTTTAGATTTGTATTCAATGTGGAGTTTCACCTGATCATTGGACACCTAACATTTACACCACCATATGTGCAACTGATCCAACAAGTAACCTGAGCTAAACGGTTGGCCCACGCCTTTGAGCCAGTCTCTGCCCTCGCTGAGCACAGGCCTGCGACCTTGCGCTGCTCTCAGTGTTGAGTCTCCCTGTTCCTCCCTGCCAGCTGATGAAGGTGTTATGGTGCTTTGCTATGCTTCATCATGTGAAGACCCAGCAGAACCTGCATCAGTCCTCTGCTGCAGGTTCTGCTGTGGGAGGAGCTATATTCTGTCTGACAGACACAGAGCTCTGACTGTTCAGGTTCTGGGGTGTCTGGGTACTAAAAACGGTACATTATGAGATGGAATCAAACTGATTTCAGATCAGAACCGCTCTGACCTGCGAGGCGATGTACTTCTCCAGAGGACTCTCCATCCGGCCCAGGGTCAGCAGAGCCGAGCCGGGCTGATGCTCTGGAGACTCTTCACCCAGCAACAGCTTCCCTTTGAAGTTATGGACCACACACACCACCTGCAGCACACACACACACACACACACGCAGGGACAGAGATGTGTGAGACTGTCAGAGAGTAACTGTGTGTGTGTGTGTGTGTGTGTGTGTGTGTGTGTGTGTGTGTGTGTGTGTGTGTGTGCGCGCGTGCGTGTGTGTGTGTGTGTGTGTGTGTGTGTGTGTGTGTGTGTGTGTGTGTGTGTGTGTGTGTGTGTGTGTGTGTGTGTGTGTCTCACCAGGAAGATAGCGATGGCTCCTCCGATTATGAACCCGGCGATGACGTCCCCCCAGTGGTTCCGGTACTCTGCGACCCGGTTCAGCCCGGTGAGGAAGGCCAGACACACCAGACCCAGAGACAGGACCGGCTTGGCCAGACGGGACCCCTTCGCCTGGACCGTGAGCGTCACGTACATCTGCAGGAAGACTAGATGCTAAGATCTCTCTAATAGAAGCTGAGATACTGAGAGAGAAACTCTAAATGTATTCTCCGGGTCAGAGGAGAACCCTCAGAGGAACATTCATCTGGACCTTCAGGACCTGCGTTCAAACAGCTGTGACTGAGAAGGTGTGCAGACTCTCCTCGTTTACAGAAGCAACTACAAGTGAAACTGCAGCGGAAGAAGAGAGAAGCATGAGAACAGAAAGCACAGTAGAGACAGAGGGTTATACGAAGAGGAGAGGAGGAGGACGAGGAAGAGAATGAGGAAGAGGAGAGGAGGAGGAAGAGGAAGAGAATGAGGGAGAGGAAGAGGAGGAGGAAGAGGACAGCATTGAGCCTGCAGCGTCCTCTCGTCTCCTTCTGGTCTCAGCTGCAGTGAATTATGCAGAATCGTCTCGAGGCTCTTCGTCTCTACAGAACAGCATGAATATCTGATGCACATCCCATCATACTGCAGTGTGTGTGTGTGTGTGTGTGTGTGTGTGTGTGTGTGTGTGTGTGTGTGTGGTGTGTGTGTGTGTGTGTGTGTGTGTGGTGTGTGTGTGTGTGTGTGTGTGTGTGTGTGTGTGTGTGTGTGTGTGTGTGTGTGTGTGTGTGTGTGTGTGTGTGTGTGTGTGTGTGGTGTGTGTGTGTGTGTGTGTGTGTGTGTGTGTGTGTGGTGTGTGTGTGGTGTGTGTGTGTGGCTCATGTAATGCCTCACACACACATCAGCAGCATGTCTCAGGCTGGCAGGAGAGAGGAGGATAGATATAAGGTGAGCAGCTCTGAGTGTCTCTGACGTCTGTCCCTTTGATTCAGAGTGTTCCAGCTCTTATATATCCGGCTGATTTAAAGGACACGGATCCTCCAGGGGACCCTCTCCCTGCATCAGGGGACCCTCTCCCTGCATCAGGGGACCCTCTCCCTGCATCAGGGGACCCTCTCCCTGCATCAGGGGGCCCTCTCCCTGCATCAGGGGACCCTCTCCCTGCATCAGGGGACCCTCTCCCTGCATCAGGGGGCCCTCTCCCTGCATCAGGGGGCCCTCTCCCTGCATCAGGGGACCCTCTCCCTGCATCAGGGGCCCTCTCCCTGCATCAGGGGGCCCTCTCCCTGCATCAGGGGGCCCTCTCCCTGCATCAGGGGACCCTCTCCCTGCATCAGGGGGCCCTCTCCCTGCATCAGGGGACCCTCTCCCTGCATTAGGGGACCCTCTCCCTGCATCAGGGGGCCCTCTCCCTGTATCAAAGGACCCTCTCCCTGCATCAGGGGGCCCTCTCCCTGCATCAAAGGACCCTCTCCCTGCATCAGGGGGCCCTCTCCCTGCATCAAAGGACCCTCTCCCTGCATTAGGGGACCCTCTCCCTGCATCAGGGGGCCCTCTCCCTGTATCAAAGGACCCTCTCCCTGCATCAGGGGGCCCTCTCCCTGCATCAGAGGACCCTCTCTTCTGAATATGATACTCACGGCCAGGTACAGTGCAGCGTAGAGGCTGAGGGCCGCCTCCTTGCAGGGGAAGGTCTTGCGGGCCCTCAGGATGTCCTCCTGGTTCCCGCTGCAGGCCTCCTGGTGGCTGATGTAGCGCAGCGCCTGCTGGCAGCCCAGCGCCGTGTAGTTGGGTTTACAAACCGTCAGGAAGTAGGGCGCCAGGTTCCCCGTCACCACCTGACCCGCGTTCACAAAGATGTCCACGGTGAAGAGCCCGAAGCTGTACACGCCTGCAAGAGAGGGGGATAAAGATGAGGGGTATCAGGGGAGATAGAGACCTGATTACTGAGGATGAGGGGTATCAGGGGAGATAGAGACCTGATCACTGAGGATGAGGGGTATCAGGGGAGATAGAGACCTGATCACTGAGGATGAGGGGTATCAGGGGAGATAGAGACCTGATCACTGAGGATGAGGGGTATCAGGGGAGATAGAGACCTGATCACTGAGGATGAGGGGTATCAGGGGAGATAGAGACCTGATCACTGAGGATGAGGGGTATCAGGGGAGATAGAGACCTGATCACTGAGGATGAGGGGTATCAGGGGGAGATACAGACCTGATCACTGAGGATGAGGGGTATCAGCTGAGATAGAGACCTGATCACTGAGGATGAGGGGTATCAGGGGGAGATACAGACCTGATCACTGAGGATGAGGGGTATCAGCTGAGATAGAGACCTGATCACTGAGGATGAGGGGTATCAGGGGAGATAGAGACCTGATCACAGTCCATTTCATCAACACTTCTCTAACTTCTGGTCACTTTCCAAACAGTCTCAAGGAGGCAAGAGTAAACCCTCTCCTAAAGAAACCCACTCTCAACCCGTCTGATGTTATAAACTACAGGCCTGTCTCTCTCCTCCCGTTCCTGTCTAAATCACTTGAACGCGCTGTCTTTAAACAACTCTCCTGCTATCTCCATCAGAACAACCTTCTGGATCCGCACCAGTCTGGTTTCAAGGCAGGTCACTCCACAGAAACTGCTCTCATTGCTGTCACGGAGGAACTGCACACTGCTAAAGCAGCCTCCCTCTCCTCTGTCATCATCCTGTTGGACCTGTCTGCCGCATTCGACACGGTGAATCATCAGATCCTCCTTCGCACTCTCCAAGAACTTGGAGTTTCAGGCTCTGCACTTTCCCTCCTCACCTCATACCTGAAAGACCGTACCTACAGGGTGACTTGGAGAGGGTCCGAGTCCGACCCTTGTCAATTAACTACAGGGGTCCCTCAGGGCTCTGTTCTTGGTCCCCTCCTCTTCTCCTTGTACACAAACTCGCTCGGATCAGTCATTAGCCCGCATGGTTTTTCTTACCACTGCTACGCTGATGACACCCAATTAATTCTGTCCTTTCCCCGCTCAGAGACCCAGGTCGTCGCACGCATCTCTGCTTGTCTAGCTGACATCTCTCAGTGGATGTCTGCTCATCACCTCAAGCTCAACCTTGACAAGACTGAGCTGCTCTTCCTCCCGGGAAAAGATTGTCCCACTCTTGACCTGACAATCAACATCGGCACCTCAGTTGTTTCCCCGACTCAGACTGCAAGGAATCTGGGTGTGACCCTAGATAACAACCTGTCCTTCACTGCAAACATCGCTGCTACAACCCGCTGCTGCAGATACACGCTTTACAACATCAGGAAGATACGTCCCCAGCTGACACAGAAAGTGACTCAGGTTCTGGTCCAGGCTCTCGTCATCTCACGCCTAGACTACTGCAACTCCCTCCTGGCTGGTCTACCTGCATGTGCCATCCGACCTCTGCAGCTCATCCAGAATGCAGCGGCTCGTCTGGTTTTCAACCTTCCTAAATGTTCCCACACCACTCCGCTCCTCCGCTCCCTTCACTGGCTTCCAGTAACTGCTAGAATCCACTTCAAGACACTGGTACTTGCTTACCATGCTGCGAATGGATCTGGCCCTTCCTACATCCAGGACATGGTTAAACCGTGCACCCCAGCACGTGCACTCCGCTCTGCATCAGCCAAACGACTCGCTGCACCCTCGCTGCGAGGGGGACCCAAGTTCCCATCGGCGAAAACACGTGGGTTTGCTGTCCTGGCTCCAAGATGGTGGAATGAGCTCCCCATTGACATCAGGACAGCAGAAAGCTTACACATCTTCCAGACTGAAAACTCATCTCTTTCGACTCCACTTCGAGCGATAGAATTATTAACAAAGCACTTATA